TCCTACTCGACATTATTACTAACACAAAAATGTTTACAAAAGAAGTCATTCGGATACAAATGGATATTCTCAGTGAAATATAATGTGAATAGGGGTATGAACAAGTATAAAACTCGATTAGTGGCAAAAGGATTCACTCAGCCTTATGGGGTGGACTATTAAGAGACCTTTGCACCTTTAGCAAAATTGTTCTCTTTTCCTTGAAAAAAAATTTGGATTGGCCACTTCATAAGCTAGATATAAAAATTATTTCCTAAATGGTGAACTTGAACAAGATGTTTAAATGAGAATACCACCTAGACTTGAGACATCAGAAAACTGAGGCAAAGGATGTAAGCTCAAAAGATCACTATACATTCTCAAGCAATCCCCACTGGCTTAGTTTGATAGGCTTATACTAGTGGTTAGGATGCATGGTTTCTCTTAATGCTAAACAGACCATATAATGTCCTTAGAGCATTAAGAGGAAGGCAAGGTAACCATTTTCATTATTTACGTAGATGACATTATTATTACAGGTGATGACTATAATGGATTTGAAAGGTTAAAATTGTTACTAGCTAAGGAATTTGAAGTCAAAGACCTTGGTCAGTTATGGTCTTTTCTTGGAATGGAAGTGGCACAATCAAATTTTGGAATTTATTTGTCTCAAAAGAAATATACTCTTGACTTACTTCAAGAAAAATGGATGTTAGGATGTCGGCTAGCAGACATTCTTGTGAAATATAATGTGAATTTAGGAGAGGAAAAAATAAAGTTCACCAACTGATAAAGCGATGTATCAAAGATAGTTAGGAGACTTATCTACCTAACTCATACACATCCAGATATTGGTTTTTTTGTCAGCATGGTTAGTCGCTACATGAACGATCCCAAAGAGACTCATATGAAATTCGTTAATCGTATTCTACAGTATCTCAAAAAGACACTAGGAAAGGGGTTGCATTTTAAAAAGGACACAAGCAGAAAAATAGAAATATTCACATATGCAGATTGGGCTGACTCAATAACTTATAGAAGATAAACTGGTGGGTATTGCTCATTTGTATGGGGAAACTTAGTGACATGGAGAAGCAATAAATAATCTGTGGTTGCAAGCAACAATGTTAAAGCAGAATTTCGGTCGATGGCTCATGGGATTTGCGAAGGGATGTGGCTCTAAAGAATGTTGTGGAAATAGATGTTCATACTTACCATGAAGTAAGTCGATTGTGTGACAACAAAGCTGCCATAAGTATTGCTAAAAATCTTGTGCAACATGACAAGAAAAAGCATGTGGAAATTCAGACATTTCATCAAGGAGAAGAATGATAATGGATTAATTTATCTTTAGCACACACTCATAAGTCATCAAACATCTGATATATTGACCGAGGCACTTCCTAGAGCCAACTATGAAAACTTAAGATTCAAGTTGGGTATAATAGACATCTATGACCTAACTCTAGGGGAAGTGTTGGTTGTTGATCTATTAGTTGTTGATCTCTTATCATTAAGGCACAATTATGCAGCCATTAATAAGGGACAATAATACATATTTTATAGTTGTAATATATGAATACATTTATACTTATTTACATAGCCACATAGAATATTTCCCTTCTTGTAAATAGGAATTCATTTGAGTTAATTGGGATTTAATTAGTTTCTTTAGTTACTTGTACTCCCTAGACTATTTATATCATATTATATTATGTATAAACTCAATAAGAAATACATAATTTCTACATGGTATAATCACCCGTTGATTTTAAAGAACGGTTTAATAAGGAGAGACATTGTTTGATTTTCTTAACATTCATTTTCACTAAATTGTGAAGAACTTAGAAAGGTATTGGGATGCAAATTATCTTCAAAGACATTAGTGTTATTGATTGTTGGTTGTGCCTTAGGTTTGTACCCATGTGGAAAACCATGTTTAAAGTAGCAAGTCTCAAATATATGACCTAGATATGTGTAAAATGTGGACTCTCTTGGTGGAGCACTACCACCAAAAGAATTACGGACACGACCACCGTCGTTGTAACCATAACCGTGGTTGTTATAGCCATGACTGTGATTGCAATTATCGTTATCAGAGGCATTTTAAAGAATTTTTTTAATCTTGAATTGTAGTGTTGACATGATTGGATTATTGTTGAAGAACCAATGGATGAACCTTGTTAATTGAAGGAAATGGGTCCATGAGAAGAATTTGGGAATCAACAAGATAGTCATTTTCACTTAATCTTTTTAAGAAACAAATCACAAATTCATCACATTGTTGTTTGATGATCTTGAAAGTAGCGCAATTACAAGGTGTTCGACAGGTTGAAGAAGATAAAGAGAAAATGTCCTCAAGATCTTCCCAAATAGTATTTATAGAATTGAAATTTTTGGAAAATTGTCTCTTCCCTTGTTTTGAAGAATGACTTTCCTAGAAAATATCTGAGAATTGATAGTGATTTTCTTTTGTGAATTTTCCTTGCAATTCCTCCCAAAGGACCTTTGTGTTTTCAATCTATGTGACACTGTGAGCATTGAAGGAATGAGAGATCAAATTATCCAAGATATAACACGACCATTGCATCTCTCCCATACATCACAAAGAGGATCAAATTATGGAAAAGTTGGTAATTTCCCGTTGATGAACTATAATTTGTTCTTGGCAAGAAAATCCCTCTTCATATTGCAAAATTAGGTATGGTAGTTGGTATAGTTTTATGGTGGAGAAATCAAAACTAATCCTAGATTTTTGCAAGGATGGATGTAATAAGAAGATGAATAAGATTGATAGGGATCATTTGTATGTTGAACTGAATCATTGTTTGCATTTGAAAAAATGAAAAGAGTTCTTTTCCATTGAAGAAGATGAAGACAAAACAAGAAGCATGTTTTTGTTTACAAAATCAATGATACCATATCAGATAAACAATTAAATATTAAATATTCTCATATTATGAAAATATTTAATGTTTACAAGTATTTATACAACTTAGAAAAGAAGTTAAAATAAGGTTGTTAGCTCTTAGAATTAGGGTTAGGCCTAACTCATCCCTATAAAATTGACTTGTATGGTGAGGAGTCCCCACTTATAAACTGTACATCTAGAGTGTGGATATATTTGGTAGATGGTATGATAGTGGGAACCTGACTAACATATGGCCCAACAAATCTTAAACTCAACTCTGATACCATCTTAGAATTGTGGTGTTACCTAATTCAATCCTACAAAACTGACTTGTAAGATGAGGATTCCCCTCACTTATGAATATATGTTCATGCCACATATTATATGATGTGGGACTCTTAACATACTGACTCCTACCCAACATTATTGGTCTTGGTGTGTGGATATATAAATGGTAGGTGGCCGAAATCGATAGGCTCTTGATATCATGTTATAAAATAAGTTTTTGATATATTCAAAATTTTAATTACAATGTTGAAATACTATTACTTAAAGTGAGAGAAAAATAAACCTGATAGGATTTTCTTAACGGGTCTAAGACTAATACTACAAGTTATTATTACGTTTAATGTTTACATCACTCCCTCTCAAGATGGTGAGCGGATATCAATTATTTTAAGTCTTCAAGTAAGTTGGTTGAATCGTTCTATTGTAAACCCTTTGTTAACATCTCCCGGCTAATACCAAGAAAGAATGTAGGATGTAGTTATTAATCCACTATCTAGGCTTTCTTTGATGAAATGTCGATCAATCTCAATGTGTTTTGTCCTATCATACTAAACACGATTATCTTCAATACTAATGATTGATTTATTATTGTAAAATAACTTCACATGGCGTTTACATTGTATCTTTAAATCTTTTAACACTTGTTTCATCCATATTAACTCACAAATTAATTATGTGATAGCTTTAAATTCTACTTCAGCGCTTGATCGATCAACTCCACTTTAATTCTTACTCCTCTAAGCAATTAGATTCCAAACAATAATGCACAATAACTTGAAGTAGATCTTCTATCACTCATTAAACCTTCTATTGACCCTTGTCATCTTTAGCACTTTCATCTTCAAAACCTATCTTAGGATTTTTCCAAATAGGCCTCAAACTTTTCTCTCCAACTTTGGCATCCAAGTTTCTCAATGAAAATTATAGCTAGGCTTAACTCGCTACAAAATCAACTTGTAAGGTGCGGATTATCCTCATAAACATATGTTCAAGTCATATATTATCATATGCAGAACTCTTTAACATACTTATTGATACCCAGGATTGAATATATGGAGTGTGGATATAAATGATAGGTGACACAATAGCAGAAATCTAATTAGCAGGTGCCCTAACAGATCTTAAATGGCGCTCTAATATCATTTAAAAATTTGGTTTGAGCCTAACTTATCTCTATAAAACTGTCTTGTAAAATAAAGATTGTCTCTATTTATAAACATATATTTATGGCAGATATTATCTGAATCCGATGAATAACTCTTTTTAACATTGACAACTTGTTGAATGGTCATAATAACTACATTTACAAACCTAACTAAAACAAAACAAAAAAATAAGAGAGTCATTATCAGACTGTTAAATTTCTCCTTTTGTTGTGTAATCCAATCAAAGAAGTAACTTATCTTGAGTGGTTAATTAAGTAAAAGAAATTTTGTTCGCACACTACACATACCATCTACAATACAATTATGAAAGTGACTGCACTAACTTATTATGCTACAATACCAATTATTAAACTTAATTATAATCTTCTGTAAAAATTCAATTTATAGCAGAAAACCACTGTACATTATGCTGATGAGGTGTTAAGCAGATAATGTCAACTTATTGAATAAAGCCAAATTGGTTGGTTTCACTGTTTTTTTCTCTCAACCTTTACATGCAACCAATTAATTCCTCTCCCTAATATCTTCTCCATCTGCATGGGACTAAAACCATATATAATGCCAAAAACACTTTACTCTCTTATTTAAACCAAGCTAAATAGGTATTACCGGTACTTTTTGATTCCATTGTCAAGAACAAAGCATAAAATTCTTTGATGGAGGGAGAACAAAAGGGATCCAAATCCGATTACAATTTTCCGCCCGGCTTTAGATTCCATCCTTCTGATGAAGAACTCATAGTTCATTACCTGCAAAACAAAATCAAATCGCGTCCGCTTCCAGCATCTGTTATAGCTGAGATTGATCTCTACAAATATAATCCATGGGAGTTACCAAGTCTGTTCTTTCACTCTTTGTATTTATCATATTATTGTTCAGAAAAATGAATCTGTTTTGCTTTTATTTATGATTATGCAGACAAGTCTTTGTTTGGAGAGGAAGAATGGTATTTCTTTAGCCCGAGAGACCGAAAGTATCCGAATGGATTAAGGCCAAACAGAACAGCGGCTTCCGGATACTGGAAGGCAACTGGAACTGATAAGCCGATTATTTCATCGTGCGGATCGAAGCATATAGGAGTCAAGAAAGCTCTTGTGTTTTATTCAGGTAGACCCCCTAAGGGTGGTAAGACAGATTGGATCATGAATGAGTATAGGTTGGTTGATACAACCACAAAATCATTCAGACTAAAAGGTTCCATGCGGGTAAGTTTTCGAGTAATCAATAACTTTTATTATATAAGTGCTTATTTATAAGCTATTTCATAGTGCTTGAACTCAATGCAATTATAAGCATGTTTCTACTGTTACAGTTGGATGATTGGGTATTATGTCGGGTTCGACACAGAGGCTACTCATTGAAGAGTTTATCAGAAAATCAAGAGAATCATTGTGAATCAAGCATACCAGTAAACCTACAGAAGGGTGAAGAACACCAAACAAAGCCGGCGTTTCAAGGTGATATGATCACAGATTATCAATACAAAGATTATCAGATCATTGCATCTATTCTTGTTGGAGGAGTTATTCCTCCAACTGAGAACATGTCAAGTTTGAGCTTTAAGGGAATGCGAAGCAACAATCTAAATTCGGTTTATGAAGAAACTTTCGACAAAATGAATTCTCAAACTACACTCCCTTCTTTGGAATGTTACTTCAATCCTATGAAAAGAAAATTTAATGAGGATGATGAACAATTGGAAAATCTCATTTCTTTTAATAGCAAATTCAACATGGAGAACAAACTAGAGAAATCTCCAAGCATCGATTTTCAAGAACTAAACAAATTAACCTTTGCAGAAAGATATCAGCAGTGATGAAGTTTGGAAAATTACGATAGGCTTCAAAAGTTCATGTGAATTATTGCTATATTTCTTTGTGTTGTTATGATTATTTCTTCGTGTAACATATGGCGAATAACTAGACATGGAAGTTTCCATGTATTCATGAAATTCCTTGTATTTTACTTAGCAATGATAAGTTGTAAATACGATTACGAGCTGTGTGTTATTTCAATAAAATCATACTGAAAGTTGGGAGATTATTTGTAATTTATATGTATTCCTTTAAATACATCAATTGATCAGAAGTTACATGATACATTGATAATATGTATGTCGAAATCCTCCAGCAGCCGAACCATTTGAAAATTAGTCCGAAAGTTCTCAGAAAGTGTAAGGATGTAATGTAGCAGAACCGGCACATCAATAGAAAGTTTGAGATCAAGTCACCTCAGTGCACTGAAATAAAGAGAAGATATTGTTGTCACCAACCATGTTTTGAATTGGAATACTTGGTGAAGAAGAGTAGGATACAGGACTTACTTGTATAAATACATAACGATTCCAAGAAGAATGCACATTAGAGTGATGTCGATGCAGAAATTTCGACTGGACCTCAGCTGGAGATGAAACAAATTTTACATATCAATGGAAACTTGCAAATTTTCACGCAAAGGAGAGTGTGATTAACTCGTTTCAGTTACCTCGGTGAGAGTTTTCTTCAGCCGTAAGTTAGTGTTTCTCACATCAGTTGTTGCTCTATCCACCTGTATAATCAGGCCAAGCACAAAAGCAACTTGTAATGTATCTATAGTTGTTTATTTCAAGATCGAAAAGAAAGACCGAATTTATAACTTTTTTACCTTCGCGTCAATTTCATCCATTAAAGGAACTTGTCGATCTAATTCCTGAACATAGTCGAGGAGGAAAAAAAGAGAGAAAATGATTATCCTGTTAAAATCGAACGTTTCCTAAGGGAATTACTTGTGAAACAAGATTCATAACCAACCTCATTCATATCATGGGCTAGATTTTTCAAAGTATCCAATCCTTCTGATATGATATCAAGCCCTTCATCCTACAGAAATCAAAATTAGAATCATTCACGAACGAAAGTGATAACTACAAAACTCGTGCCCTTCAGCCTGCACACCTGTTTCATCTTGCGCATTTCATATTCTGATCGAAACTGACTGGATTCTTCACTTGGATTGAAATATTCACTGCCAATATGTCCGTCTGAGGTTGAAATGAAAGCGAGAGCAACGTTATTTCAAAATTCAAATCTCTGTAAAATGTACTTAATGTCTGCAACACTGATCACCTCACCTGGTGTATCGAACTTGATATGCGGATGAGATGAGGTAGCCGCCGCCCATCCTCCGGTCTGACTAGCAGCAGATGTAATACCATCCGGTATTGCTTGGATTCTTTCTGGCAATACAAGAACAAGATCTTGACGAATGGCCATGTCTTCCTTTGTGACACCTTTAACCTGTTACCGAATTAAGCCGCAATCGCTATTGCATCAACCACATTTACCGCAATTTTTGAAGTCTAATACTCAATGCATCAAAAACTAAGATATAGAAATAATAATACAATACATTATACACCCCTCAATTATTACCTTCTTATTAACGAGTTTCTGAAGTTTAGGAATTTCGTCCATCAACCTCCCCTTGGCTCTTCGAACCTCAGCATTCATAGCCGCCGCAGCTGCCCTGTTATTCTCTTTGGCAGCAGCCTCAGATTTCTACATGTCAAACAACCAAAAGGGTTATTTATCATTTTGTCAATCGGATAACATTTTTGAATTTGCATGATTAAAGAAAGGCAAGAAGGGAACATCGAGGCATTGTTGAATGGTGGAATCAACGGCGGCATAGAGTCGGGCGAAGGCGTCATCACCGTAAGCGTTGAGTTCGCGCTGTTTATCGATGTCGTATTTTTCATATTTTTTGCAGACGGCGTCGACACGGAAGAGAATGTCGATGACGGTCATTGTTTCTCCTCAGAAAAGATTTTGAGAAAAATAAGGAGAATGTTGAGGTTGTTGTTTTCTCTCTTTTTCTGTTCCATCTCAAATGCAGATGAGGCGTTGAGCGTATAGAACGGTATGATACCGTGGCAATGACAACCATGCATGATTCTTTGTTTTCATGGTGACTTTGCGTCTATTTCTCTCCAAATCAAATATATCTCTCATCAAAATAATTCATTTTATTCTTTCATATATCTTTCAATTACACTAAACTCAACAAAGTCACCAAATATCAAAAGTCACTCACTCCTTACTTATACATATTCTTCCATTTTCCATATCTTCCCTTTCATCTCATGATTCAAATATTTGTTATTTGGTGGTAGTTTATTTTTCTTTTCTATTTTATCCTTAATTTTTGTTGTCTTAGAAAGTCAAAAATATTGTTCAAGAAGTCTATCGATTATCTCTGACTTATGATATTAAATTTTGCTTGCGTCCAAACGATATCTGATTTAGATTAGAAAATCAAAAATGTTGAGTTAAAATAAAATAGTATAAAAATGTTTAATGTATTTTGGTCTCTTAATTTAATTTTAAATTTAAATTTGATTCTTTATCTAATAAATGTTACTATTTAATCTTTCGAAAACAATTGTATTGCATAACTTAGTTCTTTTTGTTTAAGTTTTATTAAAAAATATTAAATTGTGCATGTGTGTCAAGTTAGTTTGTATTAATACCATCTAACATGGCTTTTTTTTATTTATTCTTAAGTTGTTATTATTTCAAAACAGCAAAAGAGACAAATGAGTGAATTCTAAATCTTTCATTTCCTGCAAAGACGAACACTGTGTTGGTGCAAAGATAGAATAAATGATGAAATAGGGAAATATTCTAATAAGAATGACGGCAGAAGAAACAGTATTAAGAGTTACAATGATTGTCACCCTATTTATAGGCTAAAACTAGGGTTACTAGAATAAGATAAAATACTGAAATACCCTCTAACAAACTTATGGGCTTAAGAAAATAATATAATAAAATATGAATTATTACTAATACCATCCCTTAATTCATATTCCATCAAAACTTGTAACACCAATTCCATCCCTTAATCTGAGAAATTGATCAGTCTTGATAGCTTTCGTCAGAACATCTGCCAACTGCTTCTGAGTGTTGCAGTGTACAACTTCTAACACTCCACTCTGAACTTGATGTCTCAGAAAATGATACTTGGTCTCAATATGCTTGCTTCTCCCATGCAGCACTGGGTTTCTGGCAAGGTTGATTGCAGACTTGTTGTCAATCATCAACTTCAGAGGTTTTTCTACCTTAATCTTCAGATCCTGCAACAGATTCAGAATCCACACAGCTTGGCATGCAGTAACAGCACCTGCAATGTATTCAGCTTCACAGGTTGACAACGCCACAACAGGTTGCTTCTTGGAACACCAAGAAATGGGACCTCCCAGAAATTTGAACAAGTACCCAGATGTACTTCTTCTGTCAACTCTGTCTCCACACCAATTAGAGTCTGAATAACTCAGAAGTTCTGACTCATTATTTCCTCCAGAGGGAAATAACACTCCATACTTCAGAGTTCCTTTGATATACCTCAGAATCCTGACAGCAGCTTAGTAATGGGACCACTTAGGTTTACTCATGAACCTACTAACCATCCCAACTGAGTAGCAAATATCAGGTCTGGTATTGCACAGATACCTCAGAGAACCAACCAACTGTTTGAAGGTTGTAGCATCCACATCCTTTCCTTCAGAGTCTGAATCCAGTTTCTGATTTGTATCAGAAGGTGTGACAACCATCTTACAATTCTTCAGATCAAATCTCTTCAGAAGTTCTAATTCATACTTGAGCTGATGCAAAATGATACCTTTCTCAAAATATCTGAACTCCATCCCTAGAAAGTATGTCATTTTGCCTAGATCAGTCATTTCAAATTCATTCATTAGAACCTTCTTGAACTTGGCTATCTCCTGTTCAGAACTTCCAGTCAATAGTATATCATCAACATATAAACATACCAGAGTCATATTGCCTTCAGAAGTATGCTGAACATAGACACCGTACTCCATCTCACATTTCTGAAAGCCTTGCTTCTTGAAAAATGAATCAATCTTCTGATTCCAAGCTCTGGGCGCTTGTTTCAATCCATATAGAGCTTTGTATAATCTGTACACCATCCCTTCCTGATTCTTTTTCACAAATCCAGGAGGTTGTGACACGTAAACTTCTTCTTCTAATGGACCATTCAGAAATGCAGATTTTACATCTAAATGCATCAGAGGCCAATTCCTGTTAGCAGCTATTGCAATCACCATTCTGATTGTTTCATGTCTTGCTACAGGTGCAAACACTTCAGAATAATCCAGCCCAGGTTTCTGTAGAAATCCTCTGGCTACCAACCTTGCTTTATGTTTGCCAATTGAGCCATCTGGCTTTAACTTCTGCTTGAAAACCCATCTGACGCTGATGGCTTTCTTGTCTTTTGGAAGTTCTGTCAGCTTCCAAGTCTTGTTTCTCTCTATAGCATCAAGTTCTTCTTTCATGGCCTTCAGCCAGAGCTTCTGCTTAAGAGCCTCCTCTGTACTTATAGGTTCAGAGTCTACTAACATGGCACACTGAATAACTTCTCCTTCAGAGTCTACTTCAGTGTCTTGCAGCATGTCAAATTCTGCAAATCTTCTGGGAACGCTTCTGATTCTTTGTGGTCTCTGAACTTGTTCAAAGTCTTGAGCTTCAGAGTTTCTAGCTTCAGATGATTGACCTCCAGAGCTTTGACCATCTTCAGAGTCTGGCATATTTCCAGAGTCTGAATTGCCACCAAGATCTGGATTGCCATCAGAGTCTGAATCATCAGAGTCTGGGTCATCTGGGTCACCTTCATCTTCTGAGTCTTCTTCAGAGTTTGAATCAGTATCAGAGTCAGAGTCAATATCAGGGTTTACTTCAACTTCAGAAATTCTTAACTCTGGCCTTTCTTCAGAGGTTCTAACATCAGAATCAGATTGAGACTTATCCCAATTCCAAA